AACATAATAAAAAACATGATTTTTGAAAATAAAAAAAACAGAGTTAATGAAGGATTTAACTAGACTGATTTGCTGGTCACTTTACTTTATGTTGTGAAGTACTGAGAACAGCATGCCTGTTTGACATGTTTATTACTGCAGTTGTCCACAACTATATCAAATATCCCAAAAATATTTGTATATTATTTCTTTTATTTTAATTTATTAGCGAATTTGCTTTCACCCCTCTAAAATTTAATTAAAATGTGTAGTTGCTGTCATGTTTTTGATGAAATGAATTTGAAAGAAAATCACTTTGGTGCTCATTAAACTTTATCAATGTTCACATTTATGTCAAAATATTGAACATGACGTTAAAGTTACAGAAATAATTCTAGCAAAAAACAAACAAAAAACATAATTCTAGAAATGGCTATCAAACCAAACTTAAGATTTTGCCCTATTATTTGTGGACTGCATTTATAGTGATACTATTTGATAAACTACAAACTACAAAGCCTTTGAACGGTAAAGTTAACAATGTTTATCAGTCCCACATTCATGTTATATTTAGGCCCATGCTTCAAATGATGATTCTTGTGCCTTGTATAACTTCTGTAAATGGTGAATGTTGTACAGGTTAAGATGGTTATGAATCACGCAAATGTACTGTAAGATATCAGTTAAAAAACACTATAGGCTAATTACACTGATACGCAGGGGTCAAGAGCTTTTCTAGTGCTAAATAAACTTGTTTGGTATCGCCAGGCCAGCTTTGTGGTATATTGTATCTATGATTATGAACATTTTGGATGTTTTCTGTACAGTGGAGTTTGCTGATGTATATGCAGTCTTTTGGAAATATATGTACAGCTGAAGAGAGCTGCAACTCTAGCAAACATGCCTCATGTCTTTATTTTCTTTCCAAGTGCTGATGATTTTCTTTATTGTCATTTAGTGTCAGGCAGGCAATCTTATGTCTAACAGAAATGGCAATGTCTGCAATGTTTTTTTTTTCTCCTGTTCCTCTTCAGAGCAAATGTAGTTCTTACAAACTAAACTAATATCCTGTTATTCCAACAAAAGCAAAGTGATTCCCACATATGCTCTTCTGTGTGTTAGAAATAAATCAGCTTACTCTTTGCACAAAACTGTAGCCAATAGTTCAATAGACATTTAACGATGAAAGTGTTCATTTCAGCAATGCTTAAAAGTCTCAGACGCAGTAATTCAGGATCATAAATGGCTGATGCAAAGTCCACAGTTGGTCTTATCTTAAATGGGCCCCTCCTCCTTCAGAACTTTCTTATCAAAGGACACATGAGTGACTAAAGATTCAGCCCTCATAACCATGGTAACCAAAAGGTTTGTTTGTTATTAATGCTGAATGTTAGAGCAACATTCAGAAATCTGAACCAAAAATGCATCTTAAGAAAATCCAATTCAAAGATTATACAACCAGGCATTCTAATACTGTGTATAGATATAGCCTATTCAGGCAATTACATTTGAGAAACGTGCTTTTGTCAGTAAATGTAGACATAATTGGTTGTCTGGCATCTCTGGCTGAAGGAATTAACCTCAGTCAGTTTCCAGGAAGCAACAAAACAATGACTAGATTTGTTGACGGGAAAGAAAGGGAGAAAGATGCTTTCAATCAGCCACAGTAATGCCTTACAACAGACCATATACACATATTGTAGTTTATCTAGAAAACAAACAATTACAACTCTGTTGAAAATCAGTTTAATCTAATATGGCTAATGAATGGATCACGTGGTGGAGAGTATTTGCTAGAAGTGAAAGGAGTGACCTTTGTCTGCATTCTGAAGCAGCAGCAGTATGAAATTCCCCTTAGACTTGGTAAATGAATAAACAAACACGAGTCCCACCTTCCTCCGCGCGCACTACTGGAGTATCAGCCAGTTTCCTGTGTTTTACACACTGTCACTCAACAGTCATAGTATCGCACTGTCACAGTCAACGGTCTGCTAGATAGCGCTAAACTGACAGAATTGCCCTTGCATTTCGGAAATTGATAATACTGATTACGATTGTGTGTGCGTTCAGAGAGCACGCCAAAGTGAGACATCCTAAGTTTAGATGTGTGAAGTGATGACGGAGATTCACTTACTGGGTTATTTGACTGAAACCACAATTTACACGGAGAATCTGGCCCTAATATCCTCCTAAGAAATAAAAAAAA